TCAGGTGGGTGTTAGATGTCTTTGACCCCCCCCCGCTCCTCTGCCCCCCCCGCTTCCCCCCCAGTCTTAAGTAGGTCAGTCGGTTCCACAGAACACTGTTCGTTACCAAACATTAGAACAAAAGCTAGTGCTAGCACAGCTACAATATTTGAAAAACAAAACAAAACAGCACCTCCTGGTGGTAATCCTCTCCTGTTAAAGGGTAAAGCTACACCCCCGCCGCCCCCTCCCCGACTTTTCCCAATTTGCATTCCTTTTTCTGGTTCTGTGCTGTCGGGGTGTTGGATGATGGCCACCAGGGGTCTCCACAGTGCCGGTTTCATTTTAACTTTGTTTCTTACACTGAACTCAAACACATTGACAGGAAATAAAAAAAAAAAATTAAAAAAAAAGTCCGAGTTCCTTAAAACACATGGAGGGACGAGATGTTTTTGTTTTATTTTTAAGAGTCAAAACAGAAGAAACAACCAAACGTGGTGTTAAGTGAATTTTTAATAATGTACAGTTTTGGTGACTTTAAATTTGTTCCTTTATATTTTTAGGACCAATTCATCATTTTTAAGAGGATGTATTTCACGACTCGTATCAAGGTGATGTAACACGTGTGCATCTGTAGAATGTACTGAGAGTTCAATAAAAACCACACCTAGTAGAGAGAAACTGGTTCTGGGTTCTTCTGCTCTTTGGTCCTGAACTTGTCTCGTCTCGTCCTGAATATTTGTCTGCTGTGGCACCAACTATTGAGTTAGATGAACAGAAAGTGAGCAGAGCTTTAATAAACAACTCATCGACAGAAGAGTGACATGTTGAGGTGTAAGCTCCTCATCTGTCCACTAGGGGCTTCACAGCTGAGGTTCGTCTTCAGTGTTTTGATCTGGAGTCAGTCTGACTGAAGTACCGACGTCCGCGGTGATGCAGCCTTGATTTAACGTGACGTCACAAACACCGGTGAGTCAGAGTTTTTTTTAAAATTTTTTTATGAATGTCGTCTCAGTATTTCTTGACTGTAACACGTGTCTGTTGACCTGCAGAGTCCGCTGTCAAACGGAGGAGAAGCTCAAGTGTCGGAGAGGACGTCACGACCTCCGCTCCCTGGAGAGGCCTGTCGGCGGCACATGCTGCTGAGGCTGCCATCACCCCCAGCTGCCGTCGCCCCCACCTGGAGCAGACTGGAGGGCGGAATTCAACCATCAGCGTACAGTAGGTGGAGGAAATAAAAACACCTGAACGTTATAGATCTGAACAGAAACGCTGTCCCCTCCTCTGACCTTTGACCCGCCTTCAAATCCCTGAGTTTGCACTTTGTGTGTGTGCGCGTTGTGAAAGCGTCGTCGTCAGCACTCTGGTGGAGGGGACGGGAAACTGACCGCAACGGTGGAGCGCGGTTTGGCCCCCGTCTGCAGTGTCGGAGCTTAACTTCACAAAAGGTGGGATAACAGTTGCACGCTAACACCACCCTCCCTCCCTCCTACACCCCCCCCTCCCTCCTCTAAGATTACAATAGCTGGGATTATTTAATAGCAATAGCTCGTATGGAACGTGTACAGATGACCTTATAGATACGTGTCTGGACAAACAGGACGAACTACGACCGCTCTGGTCTGGGACTGACGCGAGTAAATGTGTGTAACCTCCACTTCAAGTCTGCACAAATACACACACACATACATATACACACACACACACACACACACCTGCTACTGTTGCTGTGTGAAAGACACTGGTTTCTCAAACTGGAGGATATTTAATGTTGGTCAGTCAGTTGGGTGTTTGATGTATTTGACCCCCCCCCCGCTCCTCTGCCCCCCC